CCAGCTCGAAAGTGAAACTTTCCCCGGGAAGTGATCACAGGACTGAGCGAGGACCAAACAGCGCATCGCTTGCTCGCTACGTGTGGCTCAGTGTTATTTAAGGGGCCATCTCCATGTGCCACTAACACTGTGGCCTAGGGGCTTTGCAGACAGATTTGGGTTTAAACCCCAGCTCCACCCCCACCCCCAGGCTTCAGTCTCCTTCTCTGTCAACTGGGTAACAGTAGGACCTGCTGAGAGGCTCTTGCAGAGATGAGGTGGTTAAGTCCTCACGCGTAACTGGTTCTTTAATAAATGATGCTGTCTGTGTTGGTGGGTCAGACCCAGCCCAGGAAGCCTTCCCCTTTCCTGGGCTCCCTTGCTCTCCTTGGGGGCCAGTTACCAAGGAGGATGTGTGTATGGGGGCAGCCTTTGGGGCAGCCCAGGGCTGATGATAACTGGTGCCCTCAGAGCCCTCATCCCCTGCCCTAAGCCTGGGGGTGGCTGGGATCTGGTTCATTCCTGGGATTCCTTCCTGGCAGGGGACTTGGTGGGGCGGTTAAAAATAGCTGCCTCACCCACAGCTCCGTAGCTTCCCCTGAGGTCACCCCAGGAAGCAGGCAGGGCGGGACTCATTAGCTCCATTATGCACGGAAGGACATGGGCCCCTGGAGCGTCTGTGTCTCGCCCCAGATGCCCAGCTATGAGGTGGCCCCATTGGGCCTCCCAGCCACACTCGCAGGGCTTCCCCAGTGAGGTCCTCTGTCATAGGCCTCCCCCGGAGGCAGTGAGTCACCTCTATGGCACTTGCTACTTTTGTCCTGAGAAAGCCAGGCCCAGGCTCACCTTTGCAGGCGAGAGGCATCTGGCTGGAAGTCATAGTTTCATTTCCATCGTGTTTATTTTAGCATCGCTTTCTGTTTATGACAAATGATATTGTTTTTTATTCAGGGTAGTGACAGACATAAAGGTTCCTTTTAAAATTCTGGAGTTAAAAACGGTGTGTTGATTGAACATACTAAATAGAGAGCAGTGCAGGCGGTTCTCGGACGTGGCGGGACTCAGGAAGGTTAGGGGCAAATGCTGCCCGCAGGCCTCGCGGTCTTGGGCTCACACCGACCGAATGGAGACACGCGTGTTCTGTGTGGAGAAGCGTCACAAGCCACGGCCGAGGAGCCACGACAACTGACACATGGAACCAGAATCCACTTGTTTCTCGAGGACACTGGCTTCCCCCAGGGACACAGACGCAGGCAGCGCCTCCTTTCCCGTCCCCCTTTGTGCATTCACTGTCAGGTAGACGGGGCGCACGCCCTCCTGCTGCACAGCCGGAGACACTGGGCAAATCATATCCGGGTGACATCAGTGGTGACGTAGCCACCTGAATTGGTTGGCTGGTATGTGGAAGAAAGAAGAACGTGTAATGGGTTTCCAGCAGGCAAGGTCTTTGGAGGAGGAAAAGGGCCGTTCCTGTCAGAAGGCCCCCGACATTGAGGAGGCCCCCCTGCATGGTGTGTTTTCTAGCTGGGAACAGATGGGGACGAGGAGAGGAGCCAGCGGGTTCCGATGGGTATAGCAGGCATCCCACCCATGCAATGTCACGTAATCCTCACAACAAACAGCCCGGTGAGGTAGGCACTATTGTCTTCCTTTCAGATGAGGAAACAGGCCCAGAGAGGTTAGGTGACTTGCCTGAGGCCACACAGCTAGGCAGGGGCAGAGCCAGAATTACCCCAGACAGGCCGATTCCAGACCTTTCCCCGGCTGCCGCAGAGGAGTAGGACAGTGGAGCTGCTGACCTGCAGGAAAGAATCCCCTTTCAACATGTCCTGAGCATCACCCCACCGGCACCCTCCAGACACACGGGCCATTTTCCCACTTAAGCCAAATCCCTAATTAGGTACCTTCTCTGAAGAGATACCGAGCAGGGACACTGCTGCTTAAAATGGATCAAGTGCCCAACTGTGTCATTCTAATGACAGAAACGAGTCAGACAGCCACTCCCTCTGTCCAGCTTTCGGGAGTGCTCTGGCATGAAAGGTTACAGTTTCAGAAAGAAAGAAAAAAGCCAATGGCTAATGAATTATTTGTCATGTTCTAACGATGTTAGAAGGTTGGAGAACCTACTGCCTTGGATTCTATAAACTGCAACCCCAGGATGCTTTTTGGCTGGGGCTTTTGATGCCTTGGAGAAAAGATACCTAAGATGCTGAGAGGAATTAAGACTTTGGGGTCAGACTGCGGAGGTTCAGGTCTTGGCTCTGCCCCTTGGAGCTGTGGGGCCTTGCACAATTTACTTAACCTCCCTGAGTCCCATCTGAAGTTCAGGAATGATGGTCCTCCTTGGCCCCACTTCCTAGGGCTGTTGCGAGGAATAATGAGCTAAGATGTGAGTTAGAGCAGATAGTACAAGGTGAGCATCAAGTGCTTCATCAATGTTGTTCTCATTCTGGGATTTGCTGGGAGGCGAGTCAAAGAGCTAACAAGGCACTGATCTTTAACAGCCACAGCGGGTGGCACAGATGAGAGGTTCCAGGATGTCCTCTTGCTATGGATGCAGTCCCTAACTTGCCGTGTGACTTAGGGCAGGTGGTCACCACCCTCCCTGGGCCCCTTCATTCTCTGTGGCGTGAGTCAAGGTCTCCCAAACCTCACCTGACACTGTCAACAATTTTTGCTCTATTGTCCTATTTCCTGAACTATTACTTGTGTAGTTGTGTTCTTTAAACCGGCTCTCTACATTTTTAAAGTGAAATTAATGTTCTGGAAAGAGAGGAGCTTTTCTATTACTATCAACTATTGAAAACGGCATCACTTGGCCACAAATAGAAGGTGACTCTACCATACAGATAAACGCCATGAAAACAGAAGAGCCAGTGGCTGCGCGCTGGAGCGGGCGCCTGCAAGGCCCTGAGCCTGTTCAGATGGAGATTCGCACGTGAGAGGCGCCCCAGCCAGACTGACCCGATGCTGCTTTTGGTCACAAGGACTGGGAAGGGCATGAGTTCCTGTTTGGTGGGGTGACTGTCCTCTGCACCCCATCCCCACAAGTCTGAAATGGGCGTTAGCACGAGCCCCTGTGCTGAGCCCCGGTAAGGGTGGATCTGAATAAACAGATCTGCTCCAGGTTCATGGACACCAGCGTTCTCAGGAGCAACACCACTGACCCACAGAGGTTCCTTAAGGAGGGGTGTCAGCAGAAGGTGGGCTCCTTGGCTGGCTGGGAGGGGAACCCATGACACCTGTCCAGAGCACCGAGGGCCCCAAGGCTCTGGCTGCCAGGTCCAGTGGGGAGGTGGGATGGGGCCCGAGGACATGAGGACCGACTGTGTCATCAGTGGGGGCCAGGGAAGGCCTCCAAGCAGTGGACGGACGAGTTCCCAGCTGACCTCGAGGAGATGAATCTGGCAGAGGAACTTGAACAACTTGGCCTCAGTTAACCTCTCCAGCCTCGTCTTCCCGCTGGCCTGCCTTCTACCCCTCCCCCAGCACCACGCCAAACTCCAGGATGTCCCAGGACCTGCTGTGCCCTCGTGGCCTGCCCGCCCTCTACCTGGCGTGCCCTTTGTGCACAGCCTCCCCCAGACTCTGAGCTCCATTTGCCTCTGTGCATCCTCCCGGTGTCGGGATATGACCTTGGGCTGAAATCACTCACTAGATAGTGTGTCAAGGGCAGGGGCTGCACGCCTCACGGGGTCCCGGGCACACGGGAGGTATGAGATTTTGTAGTCTGAGCTCTCCAGGGGACTAAAGCCCTGGAGAGGTGGGCACCCTTAGACAAGTCACTTACCGTCCCCACCTGCAAGATGGAATTGTGGTAGTATATAAGTCCTGGGGGTGTTAGGAGGGCTGAATGAAGTCGTGCAAGGCTCCATCTCAGGCATGCTCTCTCAGGAGCGAACCCTGGGACAAAGATTCAAGTGCAAGTTGTTTATTTGGGAGGTGATCCCAGGAACTACTGGCAGCTTCCACCTGCAAGAGAGATGCGTGGTTCTCAGTGGAAGCAATTCTGCCCCCTGGCTGGTTCCTGGAAATGAAGCAAGGGGGACATCTTTAGTCGCTGTATCTGGGAGTGCTACTGGCATTTAGTGGTCAGGGACCAGGAATGCTGCTAAATACCCTTCAATGCCCAGAACAGCCCGCCTACCCACCCATCGGAGAATCGCCCTGCCCTATGCCATCAAGCGCCCTGATGAACGATATGTGTTGGGTGTTTAACATAGATGTTTTATGTGATGCTCGATGGCGTTTGCAGGAGGAATCATCTGAGCTGGCAAAGATGAGACTCGGAACTGGGGCAGGGGGTGGACATCGGAGTATGAGATGCTGCAGACACACTGACACCCACCTGGACACAGAGGGAGGGACTGGGACTTCGTGGGGCCCAGCAGGGGGATGACACTGTGTCCTGGGAGGACAAGCCACGTGGGGTGCTGAGTAGCTATCAGCTGCAGAGGCATTTTCCGGGCAAGGTAGGAGGTGCTGCCAAGCCCTGCCACCATCCAGAGCTGGCTCAGCTACCCTGGAGCTCAAGTCAACCAGCAGACACTGTACCCCCTGAGCAGGCTGCCCTTCTTCCAACAATGGACAGTCCTTCCTCTCCCAGGTCAAACTGCGTCAGTTCTCCAGCCCAGGGTCCTTAGAGATCACACAAACTCGTTCAAGAGTTTTTTGGTTTTTTTTTTTGTTTTTTTTTTTAGCTGAGCCATCCTGCTACCTGTTGGCAGCTCAGCGGCTGCTCAGCTCAGCTCGGGCTGGACTTGAACCGCTGTTGCTCAGAGCTCAAACTCTTGAGCGAGCTCTTAACCAACTGAGCCACTCGGCCGGCCCAAGAGTTTTTAATAACAATTATGGGAAAACAGCTCCAGCCTGAGACTGGGGCTCCTGGTGGTTCCCCAAAGGTGGGGGATGGAGACACTTCCTGGCCCACCCTGCGGCCTGGTGGATGGGTTCAGATCCTTGTTGAATGGGTGGCAGGTGGTGTTTCCATGTCGGTAATGCCCTTTTTTCCCTCTTGTTAGGCCTGCTCCGCTCGAAAGCTCCGTGCCAACAGGGAGGTTCCCATCCAGACCCAGGACAGTGGGATGGAGAGGTTGAGACTGAGTGCCAAGGTCAGGAAGGCATCTGCCCCCCTCCCCAAAAGGAGGAGGTGGGGGCATCCGAAGACCTCACCCAGCTGCGGCTCGTACACATGGCCTTGCATTGGCTTTTGACCTTTCACAGTTGCGATGGATGTTTACAGGAACCCAGCCAGAGTCTGCCTCCCGCTCTTCACCCCCGACTGCACCTGCTTTCTCCACTTAACCTTGAAAAGGACACTTCAAACCGTGGACACACACACAAAAGTGACAGGCAGCTCCGGCTGATGCCCATGGAGCCCTGAGCCCGGCTGGGTTTGGCCCGGCTGGTCTTAGATGCAGCGACTGTTTCAGGAACAGTGACTCCAAAGGAAAAGAGGCAAGGACCGCGTCCGGGGCTGAGGGTAGGGTTTTGACTCATTCAAGTTGCTTGTTCATCAAGTTGCCAGAACTGACCCCTCGCGTCCAGGGAAGGCCACGCTGCTCCTCTGGCCAGAAATATTTTTAGAAAATGTTGAGTGGTATGAATACTTGACTTCGATAAACCTGTAAAAGCAATACTTACGAGGCTGACCTCTTTCAATTAAAAAATGTTTGCAATTCCAACCCCCTCAGGGCCCTGCCGTTTTTTCTTTGAGATTGGGGAAAGGAATCCTTAAGCAGAAAGCCTCAAGGTGAATGAAAGGCCACGGCCTCCCAAGTTGGAGGTCCAGCTGGGCTTGGCGAGCCTACCCAGGCTGGGCTGGCGTGGGAGGCCTGCCCACGCCCGCCTCCCAGCTTCCAGAGCCTGACAAGCCAGGGCCAGCCCAGCGACGAAGCAGGAAATCAGCCCCAGATCCCAGAGAAGTCAGAGGGGTGGTAGCCCCAGGCTGGGCTCATGGTAGACGCCAGTAAAGATGAGGGAGGGAGGGAAGGAACAAATGAATGAATGAAATTAGGTCCACTTGCAGTTTCACGGAAAAAAAAAAGAAAAGAAAAGCGTAATTCTCTCCAGTTTGCTGAGCACCCGCTGCTCTCCAGCGCGCCTTCACACACACACCACGCTAAACCCGGTACAGAGATTAGTTCCGTCCTACAGGTAAGGAGACGGGTGTGTGGAACTAATGGTCAGGCAGAACTCAAGAGGAAGAACCGTTGCAGCAGCACTTGTGTTCATGGGACTCTAAGAAAGGGGACGCTAAGAAATGGGAACAGAAGGCATGGGAGAGGCCCAAAGTGAGCATGAGAAGGGGGACACTGGGAGAGGCCCGAGGGGACAGTGAGGGCTTAAAGGTGCATGGACTTGAAGTCCATGTGGCATCAGGCCATCAACGTACCGTGTGACTCTGACGTCACATCCCTGTGAGCATCGCTCCTCCCACCCGACAGCTGGGGCTCGGGAGCAATCCCAGCACACGTGCCTGGGCCCACAGAGAGACCCTCCAAAGAAGTCAGAGGTGAGGTTGCATCTTGACTGCCTCCGTTGTAGGAGTGTGACCTCAAGCAAGTCACACCTTCTGTGAAATGGGGACAGTAATTTACCCACCTCAGGACATCACTCTGTGTTAATAACAAAGGTGCCCCTTTGGTTAGTGACAGTTCCACACCAGGACTCACAGCTCGGTAAGCAGAGCCCAGGCTGGGTTGCAAACCCCCTTTGTCCAGGTGTCTTTGTGCAACGCACAGACTGCCCAAACACACCCAACAGCCCTGCCTAGAGATTTTTTAAATTTTACTAAAATGTGAGACTTACTAGAGCATCTTATTCATCATCCTTGTGTACTTGGTACATACAAGGTCTAACAATTAAGTTTGCGATTTTGTTGCAACAGTGTTGTTAACCTTTTTTGATATCAGAGAGATTATTCATTATGAATTTGTACCAACTGGACACACAGTGAACCAAGTTTACGATTTGGAAATGCTGAAAAGGCTGCGTGAAAAAGTTAGACGACCTGAACTTTGCACCAACAATTCATGGCTCTTGCATCACGACAATGCACCAGCTCACACGGCACCATCTGTGAGTGAGTTTTTAGCCAGTAAACAAATAACTGTATTGGAACACCCTCCTACTCACCTGATCTGGCCCCAATTTCTTTCTTTCTTTACCCAAAGATAAAGGAAATATTGAAAAGAAGGCATTTTGATGACATTCAGGACATCAAGGATAATACAACGATAGTTCTGATGGCCATTCCAGAAAAAAAGAGTTCCAAAATTGCTTTGAAGAGTGGAGTAGGCGCTGGCGTTGGTGCATAGCTTCCCAAGGGGAGTACTTTGAAGGTGACCATAGTGATATTCAGCAATGAGGTATGTAGCACTTTTCCTAGGATGAGTTCGCAAACTTAATTGTCATACTTGATATTTGTGGAATGAATAAAACAAAGGTGTGGTGAGGCTTATTCACTCATTCCATAAGCGTTTATTGAACACTTACTATGTGCTGGCACCTTGCTGGAAGCAGAGGGCACAGCAATGAACAAAGCAGACAAGTCCCCTGTGCTCCTGGTACTCACACCCTAGGACAAGAGCAGACAACACAAGTAATAAATGTGAAAAAGATAAACTGGTGACGAGGTTGGAGTGTGTGTGTGTGGGGGGGAGTGTCTATGTTTAATGGAGTAATCTGGTATACCTTCCTGAGGGACTATCCTTTAAACTGAGCCCTAAAGGATGAGAAGTTGGCCATGTGAAGAGCTGGGAAGAAAATTCCAAGCAGAGAGGCAAGAGTGAAACACATATTCGCATGTAATAAGGACAGCTAACATGGACTGAGCTGTATGCCACTCTTGTTCTCTTGAATCTCCCCTAACCCCATAATGAAGGCAGTGTTCTGATTGTGCCCATTTTACAAACAGGAAGACTGAGGCACAGAGAAGTAGTTTGCACACATGGTGAGCTGGGCATTGAGCCCAAATGGTCCAGCTCCAGAGTCTGTGCTGCTGAGCCTAGGCTACGGTCCCTCTTAAGTAGGAAGGGCTTAGCATGGAGCTTGACGCAAAGTAATAATCATTGCTAGTATTTATTGAGCACTTATTATGTCCCTTACCCTGTGATACATGCTTTACATGTATCAACTCATTTAATAAATGGTAGTTGTCATGTAAAGTCATTACTGAGTAATTATAGCCTCTGACCTCGTGCTGTCATCTCTGAACACACCAAAAGCATTGAGTCCAGTGGTGCCCGCTCTGCCTGGCTGAGAGTGCAGTAGATGCCTCAATTGATTGGAAGGAGACTGGCTTGGTGCTCACCCCTGTGATGCACACATGGGAGCCCTGCAGACTCCACAAAGTCCACGAGTGCAGGGACACCCTGAAGGGTGACGCCCGAGCTATTTAGAGCCCAAACCCTTTGCAGTTTGGTCAAGGAGGAAGGCACTCACTGCTTCCGCAAGGATTGCCAACCAGGCAGTTGTCCCAATCCCTCTCCACCCCCGACTTCCACTTGCTGGGAAGAGGGAAAGCGTTTGGGGCCCAAACATCAGAGTTGGTGCACTAGAGCTGAAGGGACAGCTCCCGCCGCCACCAGGAGAAAGCCAATCGTCCCAAACCTGGGCTTCTGACCGAGCTGGCGATGCCCAGTATAAAACAACAGTCAAGCTAGCCATTCTCTGGGTAGAGAGCAAAGCTGCCAAGGCCATTCCAGGCTCCCTGCGGCCGAGGCAGGGTCCCAGCTGGACTAAGGAGAGGCTCCCAGGATAGAGTAGGGAGCACCCGCCTCTGCAAAGTTCATGCTGCTTCGACCTTGCTGCTCCCCTAATGATGAATTTTCCATCAGATCTTAGGATGCCATAAAGAAAATCCTTTCTGGAAAGAGAGGAACTTGGGCCAAGGGGTGTGTGAGTGAGTGAGTGAGTGAGTGTGTGTGTGTGTGTGTGCGCGCGCGCGCGCGCGCGTGTACACATGGGATGGGGGGAGGGGGGAAAGTGACGGCCCCTGTCAAACTGGGCAAAGAATATGTCAGACGTGATGCTGTGACTTCTAAGCCCGGGTTATAGAAAGGATGCAGCTTCTCTCTTCCTCTCTCTCTCCCTCAACTCTCTTCCTTTTTTGGGTGACCACCCTACAACCCAGCCATGATGCTATGAGGAAGCCCTAACGAGCCCACAGGGAGAGGTCCCCCTGTGACATTTCCTTAGAGGAACCGAGGTCCTCAGCCACCAGCCAGCATTGAGTGAACGAGCCTTTAGGTGACCCAGCTGACACTGAGTAGGGCAGAGACAAGCTGTCCCTGCCGAGCCCTGCCCAAAAGACAGGTGTGGGAGCAGAATAAATGTGTGTGTTGTTTTAAACCTTTGCATCTTAGGGTGGTTTGTGATGCATTAGTTCACCACAACAGTGGGCTCCCCAAAACGGTAATCATGGTATGAACTCAAACACTGGACCTGCCTGTAGGATTAAACGAGCCATTTATAATGTAGTGAAGACACAGGAAATTAAGGCAAAAAGGCAAATGTGGCTCCTATCCGTCTCTCTCCCCTCTTCCAGTAGTGTACCGTCCGCTGATTTCCTGCTCAGGTCCAGTGCGTCTGGCCAGGCCTAGCTTTGACCTTGGCAATCAAAGTTAGTGCAAAACAGAGAGAGCAGCTGACACAGCGTCCCAGCCTGTCTCGGCCTGGGAATTAGCAGGTGAGGGTTCTCTCCTGGTATCCTCAGAGTACCTAGCATGTCCTGCTCGGACAGCCGCTGGAGAATGGCTTTCTCCCCAGGCTGGCAGGGACCTGGAGAGGTGGCGATGTGGCCACCTCAGTCCCTCATTTGGACCTGGCCACGGCTGTCTGGAGTGTCCTGCAGAAAACACGTCAGGGCCCCTGGGTGTCCTGCAGCTGCCACCAGGTGCCCGCCATCTGCCAGGACCCCTACGGCTGAGCAGGGCTGTCATCCACCTGGGCCCTGAAGGAGCCTGGAGCTGGCCTGGGTCTGTCCGCAGAGCAGGCCATGGGTCCTCTCCACAGCCGGCAGGGCTGGGTGCCCGGATGCTGAGGCTCACAGGATATGATCCGAGAAGAGCCGTGTCCACAGATAGTCAGTTCAAGGTCCAGTATGGTCAGTGTCCTCTGAGAACGCGCTATGGGAGGTCCAGAGAGGGGGTAGGTCAGGAAGCTTTAGGAGGGGCAGCTGGACGCAGGGAGAGAGTGTTGTCGAGACTGGGGATGGGAGGGACGGTGGGGATAAAGGACGGGGCGGAGGGTTTGGAGGAGGACTTCGCCGGCTGGAGGAGGTGGGGGGATGGCAGGAGGGCAGTCGTCTGCACAGTGAGAAGCAGAAAACTCAGAGCAAGCTCCTGTGAGGACAGTCTAAGACCTCGGGCAGCCAACAGGCTGAAACAGCAGCGCGAATGGTTTATAAGTCCCTGAAGAAACACCTTCCCAATGCTAAGGGCTATGGGTAATGGACAGCCCACCCGCCCTGCCCTTGCCCTGGTCTCCCAGCCTGACCACAGGGAGGGTCCTCAGGGCCCAAGTCACAGTGCCTTTAGGACAGAAGCAGGGGAGGCCCCAGATGGTGCACGGTCCAGGGTTAGACACCCAGATCCCACCTGCTGCCCACATTTTTTATGGATTCCACCTTCCTGGGACACTGACCCCTGGGGCCCCTGCGGTTCTCCCCTCCCAAGCTCACCGCTGTTAACCTTGTCCCAGACACAGACGGGATCATCTCAGGCTGATCCGAGAGTCCAGCTGCTGTAGGTGTTCCTGGACGCCAAATGGAATGGTGGGTGTCCACATCCTGCATGCGGGCATGGGACACAGGCCAGGTTATAGGCGAGACTGTGGCCTGGAACCCCCAACACAGTTGCCCCCAAATCTCTCCTCCCATCCCACCTGGCAGGACCAGGCCAGTGTGGGGGCATAGGGACAGCAGAGGCTAGGAACCCTGAGACCCCTTTCTTTAGACCTGGTTCTGCTGCTGACTTGCTGTGTGACCTCAGAAGGGTTGGTTAACTTCTCTGTGCCTTATTCTCATCTGTAAAATGGGTCTATAAGATCCACCCTATCCCTCTTAAAAGATATGAGTAATTATGTAAATGAAAGTGCTTTGAAAGAGTATAAAGTACTGGTATTGGACATCAGACATCATGGTAACACAGTAAGTCTGAGCCATATGAAACTGCCCATTTTGTAGGTCAAAATGGTTTATATAAGCAATTTCATATCGTTCAACCTAACATATTGACCATTTTCATGTACCACACACTGTTCTAAGTGCTTTATACATCGAGTCTAGTTGAGACCTCACAAAACTGCTTGCGCACATTGGTGAGGGACAGCAGGATTTGAGCTCAGGGCTCAGGGAGCTACCCACTGGAGTCACTGAGACTTACGCAAGGGTCTCCACATGAGGGCACTTTCTCAGGCTGGCGGTGAGCTGCTGGGCCCCGGCGGCCGTGAACTTGTTGTACTGGACACTGGGGAGAGAAACCCATCCTGGGGCCTGGTCCTCAGGCCCATCCAGCCCCAGACCAAGGCCACCACCACGCTCGACAACCAGAGCTCAGTCCAGCCCTTCCCATGATGCCAGAGGGAACCCTAAGGCCCAAGTTGCTGCCACCCACTGCCGTGGCTCCCATACTCACTCCAGGACCCGCAGGGACACCATGTCTGGAAGCACGTTTGCCAGGCTCTCAGCTCCCAGGTCACAGATGCAGTTATTGTACAAGCTGCCAGAAACAGGAGTCAGGGCAGGGGCTGGGGCGCAGCGCCCAGGGGGAGCCACACTCAGCTGGGGTTACTGTCCCAGTTTACAGAGGAGCGAACTGAGACCCCTTCTCTGTGGTCACGCAGTGCATCTAGGGAAGCAGCAGGACTGGGGGTGGGGGAGGGTAGCTTCCTGGCTGAGCCTTCCCGAGTTCAAATCCCGGTTCTGCTGCTTGCTGCCTGTGTGACCTTTGGCGAGTCACTTAACTCCTCTGTGACTCAGTTTGCTCCTCCATAACATGGGCATGATAGAGTAATTGTGAGAAGTAGTGAATGCCGGGAAAACACACAGAATGGGCCTGGCATGTGGAGTGAACTAAATGTTCGCTCTGGCTGTTACCTCCCAGGGGGGTTTATGAGGGTTAAATGAGTTACCATAGAAGGTATGACCAACACTGGGGACAAAGAGGAGAGAAAAGCCCAATCCCTGGCTGGCTTGGGTTTCTGTGGTATATTCACAGCCACCATTTTCCGTGTTGAAAATAGCTCAACGGGTGTCGCTGAGGCTGACTTAAGCTGTACACTTATTACTGAGTCAGCGAGCCAGGTGCTGCTCTGGTTCTAATTTCAAGGCCATGACTTTCCTGTGACAGCCTCAGGGCTACGCAGCAGGGCTGTGTGTAAAAGCAGCAGGTCTACACCAGATGAAGCAAAGTGGATTCAGGCTACACGCCAGCATTCCCTGATGTCACAAGCTGGCTGGTGCCAGGGCGGGCACCAGACAGAGGCTTTGCAATCTCTTCCTGGGGTCATATTAGAAACCAGGAGGCCCTTCCTCCCACGACAGGCAGAGGATCCTTCTCATATTTCATGGACGCCAAGATGCACGTGTTCATATTTGAACATCATTGAGATCAGGGTCTAATAATCCACGGAGTGTCACAGTATAATGAGCAGCGTTTTGTCCTCTTAATGATGTCTTAGAGTGGATGGCATCGTGGATTCTATGAAATATGGGGTTCCCTAAAGTGTAAATCAGATCACGTGTCATCTCCACACTCCCCACCCACTGCTCCAGTCACGGCAGAAAAACTCCAAACCCTCCTCCTGATCGCTGAGGGCCTCCCTGCATGATCTGGCCTCCACTTACCCCTCCCACATCACCTCCCACCCTCACCCTCATTCACTCTAGCCAGCCACAGTGGCCTTTCTGGCCCTCCAACACCCAACGTCTTTCCCACCTCAGGGCCTTTGCACCTGCCCTTCCCTCTTCCTGGAATGCTGTTCTCTCAGAGCTTCCCACGGAAGGGGAAGGGTCCCCTCCCCAGAGGTCTCCTGACCTCTGTGGTGAGTTCAGTACTCCTATTGCACCTCCTGGGCCCTCCTTAGTTTCCTTCCCAGCATGAATTGCCATTTTAAAATATTTTATTGATGCATATGCCTACTTGCTTGTTATGCGAAAAATTTGAAAGCAAGGACTACGTCTGTTTTGCTGCGAGTTGTATCTCCTTCTCCTAGCACAGGTTCTGTCCCATGGTTGATGTTAGAGAACATTAGATGCCCTGCACAGCTCTAGGAGATGCCAAGCATATAGACCATGACTTGCACAGTACACAGCCTGTACAGCTGTACTCAGTGGCCCTGAAGGGAAGGATAAAGAATGGATACATCGACAACTAAATGAACCAGGTGCTATATTCCCTGGGAATCTGATTCTGGCTGTCCTTGGCAGGTGATGAGGGCTGGGGAAGGAGAGGGAATTTCCTCCCAGCCTGATGAGAGAGGAGAGTTGGCAGTGCTGAGCTGAATCACTGGGGCTCCTGTCCAAGCTCTCAATTTCCTCATCAGCCCCCTGGTACGACCAGGGGGCCAGGCTGAAGGCAAAGAGGTGCTATGCCAAGGCCCACCAGAAGGTGGCAGTGTAAGCATTGAGTGGTGTGTGAGTGGGACGGGCCAGCCAAGGCTGCCTGAGGGTGGCCAGCCTTCTAGAAATCCACACCCCTGGACTCCAGAAAAAGTTCAGTTCCAACATCCCCGGGGCGGGGAGAAGGATCAATACTTATTGTGCACCAGGCCTGACACTGCACCAAGTGCTTTCCATAGGCCACTGGGATGGTGCCCATTGTCCAGATGGAGAAACAGGCATTGCCCCACTCCAGGGGGTTGTGTTCATGTTGGATTTTAGGTCGATGCCCCGCCCTCCCAAGTTGTGCAACACCGATGCAGCCAAACAATCTGTAGGGACTGCTTCCAGGGTCCCAGTGCGCGACTGCAGCTGGCACAAAGGGGGTTCTGTGCCCTCCCCCAGCCCTCTGGCTCAGCGCCTGACCCATGGCGGGACCTACTCACCTCAGCCTAAGGAGGGACGAAGCCAAGGAGGGCAGGGCCTTAGCGAGCTTGCAGGCGCCCACGTCGGTGATGCTGTTCTGAGACAAACTGCAGGACAGCGAAGGGAAGGGCTCAGGGCCAAATCTGTACACCCCTTTCCCCATCAGCATCCATCTGCCACCAGCCCCCTCACCTCCCCTGGGGCAGAGCTGAGAAACTCTCACTTCCTCACAAGGTGGCCCAGAGCAGTTAACACATGACAGTGAACCCCGAGAAGAGCTGTGGGTAATGAACTGAGAATGACACAGTGGGCACACTTAGCTAACTCGATAAATAAAAGCATATTGTTAGGTCTTGTAGCTGAGTGGGATGATGGGGGTAAGCATGGAGATGAGAGAGAGAGAGAGGGGGGGGGGGAGAGATCTCCCCACCATGCCTGTTTTATGATTTTATAGCATCCCTTTTAAAAAAAAATTTTATTGGGGCACAGCCATGGTCATCGGTTACACATTGCTTTCATGCTACAACGGCATAGTTGACTCTTTTAGGGAGGGCGCAGCTCACAGTGGCCCATGCAGGGACCGAACCGGCAACCTTGGTGTTATCAGCACCACGCTCTAACCAACTGAGCTAACCGGTCACCCCCTTGAACCACTTTTTAGCACTGTCATGAAATAAGTGTTTGTGTTATTTGTGTAACAGCTGTGGGCTCCACAGGCAAAGGGTTGGATGTGCTTTGTTCAGTATGTACCCCTGTGCCTAGAGTAGTGCTAAGCACATGTAGGAGCTTAGTAAAAGTTTAAGTGGGAGAAGGGAATAAAGGGGGGGAGGAGAAGGAGAGAGGGAGAGAGGGAGAGAAGGAGGGGGGAGGGAAGGAAGGGAGGAAGGACTAAGGGAGGGAAACCTAGCTTACAGTGTTACCCAGAACACTATAACAATCAAGGAAATCCCTAAGTGAACTCTGCTGAATTCTGTGGCCATTCTGATCATGGTTATGAAGCAGAGTGTGGATAAATTTTGATGATACCTTCTAGGTTCAGTAAAAAAAAATCTTATTGATCTTCCTGCATCATATCCATCTCTTATTTCTGAAAGCCCAGAACAGTTTTATTTTGTTTTTTTTAAAGATTTTATTGAGGGATTGGGGAAGGGGAACAGCCAAGTTGTTGTCCTTCAGCCTTAGTTGTGGAGGGTGCAACTAGCTCTGCTCCAAGTCCAGTCGCCATCCAGCTCCCCATGGGCATCTCGCTGCCACTCAACTCAAGGTGCTGTGTTCAGTCTTAGTTGCGGGTGGACATAGCCCATCACCCTATGCGGGAGTCGAACCGGCAACCTTGTTGTTAGGAGCACGTGCTCTCACCACTGAGCCATCCTGCCACCTGTTGGCAGCTTAGTGGCAGCTCAGCTCGGGTGGAGCTCACTGGCCCATGTGGGAATCGAACCAGCAGCCCTGTTGATCAGAGCTTGCGCTTTTAACCAACTGAGCCACCTGACTGGCCCCCAGAACAGTTTTTTGGGGTTTTTTAAAATTAAAATGTACTATTTTGATATTTTACTGATAAATCCAAGTCTATGTCTCCTATTTCACCTCCTGATGTAACTTTCTGTCATGAAACATTGTTAACTTTCATCACTACATATAGTTTATAATTATGGATTTGTTTGTTTGCTTGTTTATTGTATCTCCTCACTAGAAGACTCTTGAGGTCAGGGGCTGTATTTGTTTTGTTTAAAGCTGGGCATCTGGGAGCCGGCCAGGTGGCTCAGTTGGTTAGAGAGCGAGCTCTGAGCAACAGGGTCGCCAGTTCGATTCCCACATGGGCCAGTGAGCTGCGCCCGAGCTGAGCTGCCACTGAGTTGCCAACATGTGGCCAGATGGCTCAGCTGGTGAGAGCATGTGCTCTTAACAACAAGGTTGCCAGTTCAACTCCCACATGGGCTGGTGGGCTGTGCCCCCACTCCCCCAACAACTAGATTGAAAGCGGCGACTGGACTTGGAGCTGAGCTTGCACCCTCCACAACTAAGATTGAAGGACAATAACTTGGAGCTTATGGGTCCTGGAAAAACACAATGTTCCCCTTCTGCAATTCCCCGATAAAATCTAGAAGAAAAAAAAAAAAGCTGGGTGCCCAGGCCTAGAATGGTACCTGCACACAGTAGGTGCTCCTTAAATATTTAATTAAATTAATACATGATTGGATGTATGAGTGATTAAATAAAGAAATGAATAAGTGAATGGATGAATGAATAGATGGACAAATGATTACATGGATGAATAACTGAATGTAAAGTGAAGGAAAGAATACAAAAGCCAGCTGGCCTCGCGGGGGCCAAGTACAGCAGGCAGCGCGGGCCTAACTCACTCACTTCAGTGTCTCCAGGGCTTTCAGCTGAGGGAAGGTGGCTGAGAGCAGCGCGACACCCTCGTCCCCAATCTTGTTCTCGCTCAGCGAGTCCAGGCTGCAGGTGAGATTAGATGGAGGGCCATCAGCCAGCACCCTGGAGGTCACCTTACCCTTCCTCTCCCTCCAACCTATCAGCGGCCTCCTTCCATCCTCCCACCCGTGGACGCACCATAGCAGACGTCTGCTCCGAAGCTTTCGAGAGCAAGTTTTCATCACCCAGGGGCACCAGCTGGCCAGCCAAGGGACAAGGTTCTAACTCCCAAAAGACTTGAATCCCTGTTTTACTTCCTGGGAGCCCCACGAGTTTGGGCAACTTTCTTAACCTCTTGAGACCTCAGTTGTACTGTGAGATCATGCTCTCCGACCCCACCGCCCCGCGGCGCTGCTGAGAGCAGCACATAAGGGGAAAAGAACTTCAAAGGTCACCAAAGGATTCAACATTTTTTTTTAATTATTGGGGATTCCCATCTTTTGTCCCTTCCTTGCAGCGGGGTCCTCTGGTCACTCGCACCAGATATGCTGAGGAAACAGCAGGACCAAGAGAGAGGGGAGGGGAGAGAAAGGCCCTTCTCTCTGCCTGGGCCTTCGGGGCAGAGTTTGGGGACGTCAGAGCCTCAGGTCGAGGGGAGGGTCCCAGGGTCCATACTTACTCCAGATGCTGAAGGGATGAAAAGGCCTCGAGGATCCTCACCAGTTTGGGGAAAGCCTGGGGGCCCATGACAGGGCCCAGCCTAGGAGGCAAAGAGCAGAGGTAAGACCCTGCAAAAGTCATGGCCCCTCAACTCCGCCCAGGGTGAGAAGGCAGGCCTAACTGAGGCCGCCTCCCCTTCCCTGCTCCCCACTGCCTTACCGCCCTTTACCCCCACCAGGTGGGACCCCCAATCCCTTCTTCTCTAGGCAGATTTCACGAAGTCCTCTCAAGTGGCCAGATGGGGGCACCCCAGCTTTCGTCTCTGAGTGGGGAAGTCAGTTCTCACTCGTGCCAACAGCTACAAGCAGGCTTCTGCCCTGGCCTGGGAAAGGTGTTCCCAAATGCTGGCCTGAGGCTACGACCAGCTCCAAGAAAGATGGCTTACTTATTTGACATCACATTTTAATAACAAATAGAACCATTTCTTGAGCACTTACTATGTGCCAGCCACAAAGTGTGTCCTTCCCTCAGATTAGATCTCATTTAATCCTCACAATGACTCTGAGCTAAGGGCTCCTCTTGTCCCCATTTTACAGATGGGGAAACAGAGGTCCAGAGAGGTTAAGCTAACTCGTACAAGGTCACAGAGCCTGGGTCGACATTTAGACCAGACTTCAAGGGAATGAGAAAAATTAAGGCAGGCTGTTTTGTTTTTAAAATATGCTTAAATGTACTCAATGTACAGAAAGGACTGTCTTTAATTCTGAAATTACGTCCTTGGGAATTTGTGACATTAAAATGTTTGTTCTTTGATGAAGTGGTGGTGCCAGCCGTGGTTATTTTGCTAGTGGGAATGAACGTACTTGATAAAAAGGAAAAGATGGAAACCGCACGTAGTCACCGAAATTCATTCTGAAATGGTATCAGTCTTTGAAACCCCAAAGTCTGGGAACCACTAGCCTCAGGGAAAGGACATAAGATAGGAGTCCAAAATCGGATTTCAATCTGGGCTCTGCTACTTCCCTATCGTAGAGCCTTTTGGGCAAAACCCTTCATCTCTGAATCTCAGTCTTTTCAAATCTGGCCTGAATCTTGTGAGGTTGTTGGAAGAATTAAGGAATTTATTCATCAAATATTGTTTGCCTACTGTATGCCGGGCCCCTAGAGCACGTCATGGAGCCAGCCGTGAATAAAACAGACAAAAATCTTGGCCTTCGAGGAGCTGACACTCCAGTGGGCAAGACAATCAAAGAAACTGGTCACCTGTTTGGTGTTAGGAGATAATATGTGCTCCGGAGAAAAGTACAGTGACGAATGGGGTGGAATTTAACTTTTAAAAATGGGGGGTCAGAAAAGGCCTCGCTGGTGAAAACCAGAAGGAAGTGAGGGTATGGGCTGTGCAGCTATTTGGGGAACAGAGTTCTGGGTGGAAGGCACAGCCAATGCAAAGGCCCAGAGGCAGGGCCATGCTTAGTAAGACTGAAAACCAGCAAGGAGACCCATGTGGCTGGAGTGGAGTGGGCAACGGAGACAGTACAGGAAGTAAGGGTGAAAAGGCAAATGAGGGCCGAATCAGTGCAGGAACCTCAGGATTTTGAGCGGCCCAGCAGTCTGACTTACAGGCAGAGGAGGCCCACAGGGTACCTGGAACAGTGGCTGCCAGTCATACACCCCAAATAGTCCTTTACTTCCTTCCTTCCTTCCTCCCTCAGAACTTTCTTGGGGCTTCCGGCCTCCAGGAGGCTTATCTCCTGGTTCTGGGCAGTTCCACCTCACAGCTGCTGCTCCCCAGAGCACAGCTCCGACCATGAACTAGGGGCTTTTTAAGCTGAAAATAATTAAAGGCAGACGGGCCCTCGGTGGTTCTTTTCATACATTTCCTCTTTTCAGCATCATTTTTATCTCTGCACAAATTTGGCAACTTGTCTCTGTTCAAAACAAGAAAGGCTTTTTCTGGTGTGCGGGGGAGCCGTGCTCAGAAGGAACAGAGAGCAGACAGCTTGTGGGTGACCAGCTGGGGACCTTGAGCAAGTTACTGAACCTCACCGGGCCTCAGTTTCCTCATCTATAAAGTGAGGGAGATAATGATTATCTCCCAAAGTAGATCTTGAAATTAATGAGATTATATATAAAATGCACTGAGCATGCTGTTGGTGTTTAATAATTCCCTCCTAGATTCCCTAACAAGGACCAAACACGAAGTTAGGTTTTTTTTCCTTTGTTGGAGCACGAGCCAGGCTGACCGGACTTTTGTGACTCTGGATAAACAATCGACACTCTCTGGGCATCAGTGCCTGCATCTGTTCAATGGGGAGATAATAACGATAATTCTACCCCTTGTGGCCTCCCCTACCCCCATTCCTACTCCTTTGTGGAGCTTTAATGCTTCAATAGCCTCCTCCAGGAAGTCCCCCATCTCCCCCAAGTCTGCACTGTTCCAGCAGGTGGTAACTGTCTATTTACAACAGACTACAAGCTCGCTGAGGACCGTGGCCTTGGTCGCCTGAGTAGCTCTGCTGAATGGATGACTTCAAATGCTCATGCTCACCAGTAAATGGGCTCATGAGCTTCACTAGCCCAGAGTGGACACACCCTTGTTGCTGGGAACTGGGGCGAGAGGGGACGAACAGTTCTGGGGACCCATCTGCATGCATTCTGGTGGCACAAGCCCAGCCAATGCTGGAGAGGAAACTTCGTGGGGACCCGAGACAATCCACCCCTTGGCTTACGCAAACTCTAGCTTCTTTAGGTCCCGGACAGCGGGCAGTTCCCTGGCTGTGTCTTCTGAGGAACTTGTTGTCCTGGAGAGAATGGGCAATGTTAGACAGGAGGAGGCTCTCTGCCTGTCACTGAGCCCCTACCTATGTGTCCCAGGATGCCTGCCCCAGTGCCCCAAATTCCCCAGAATGACTGCCTTCCTATGACTATGGCAGCCCCCCTTAACCCCCGTTAAAAAGAAAAACCTCAGGACAGGACATTATCTAGGCGTTACTGTGTGTGCCATAGGAGAGCCTCAGAGTGGGCACGCACCAAAACCCATCCCAGACAGCACACAGTAGGTACTCAAACAATGTATGATAAAAGCATGAGTGAAAGACAGTTGTTCTGTGGTCAAATGCCCTCTACCCTCTGGACTTTAGTGCTCTGCCACGTACTAAATGGGGACAATATTGGCTCTGGCTGCCTTGAAAGGTGGTCATAGGTGTCACCTGTTACCAGATGCAGCAGGCAGCTCATTAGCTCTGAGCAAGGGAGAGGCTGTCCCTGGCTTTAGCTGAGAAAGAATTAGCTACGTGATGGCAAGTTTTCAATGGGACAAAGTGATAAGTCCTGGGGGCTCTGCCTGGGTGGTGACTGCAGTGAGCGATCCGGGGTGGCCACTGCCCAGAGGAGGGCACGGGATTTCCCAAAGCAGAGGCGGCACTGGAAGTGCTCGTGGCAAATTAGGTTCTATATGCCACCAGCCTGCATGGCCGGGACCACCCCCCGTACCCTCACCCCCTCACCTCTGGATCTGCACAAGGTTGCCCAGGTCTTCCACATCCTTCACGGACTTGGCCTTGAAAGGCTCAATGGTGAACTTGTCTTCCACCGCCTGGAGTAGCTTGGCCTCCCCACGCTGTCGTAGAGACTCCCACAGCTCCACCGTGTCACTCAAGGCGGCCCTGTGGAGGGAGGGCCTCAGACCCAGGCAGTGACCGGGCTAGACCATAATGGAGGGGCAGCTCCATGAAAGGGACGTCCTATCTCTTCAGTTACTTTCCTTCCTCAGCTTGACCCCTAGCTCCTCCAGAAAGCCTTCCACGAACACTCCAGCCCTGACCGATTCCTCCTTTTTCTGAACGCCTACCACCCCCCACCCCCACCCAGTGGTTTTAATTTCCCTTTTTGCTTTGGCTACCAGGAAGCTCGGTGCTAAATTCTCGGTTGAACCACTACCGTGGTGTAGGACCTTAGAGCTTGGGTCAAGTATGTTTAGGGCAAAGGTGGGAGAGATTCTCTGGCGATTAGGCTGACGTGATCAAACAGATCACGGGAGGATTTAAACGAGCCAAATGAAGGAATTTAGATTTCATCCCGAGGGTGGTGGGATGCCTCTGAAGGGTTGTAAGTAGGGGTGGAATATGATAAGACTCGAGTTCTGGGAAGGCTGCTCGGATGGTTAGTTATAAAGTGGAGTGGAAGAGGAAAGCACGGAGGCGGGGAGGGCCAGGAAAGGCTGTGGCTTTCATCTAAACATGACAAAATGATGCGTTAACCAGGGGATGGAGAGAAGAAAATAAAGCTGAACCCGGATAAGCATTAGATTCTAGTCGTGGCCCAGTGCCTGGCACATGGCGGCCCTTCAAATATTGATTGAAAGAATGATGCTAGTAGCCCTCGCTGACGATGCGACCTTGGACAAGCTGCTGTCCCTCTCTGAGCCTCAGCTTCCTCATTCTAAAAAAAAAGGAGTCACTTCTGCACCCACCTGGCTGCTATACATAATAAATGAGACCCCACAGGGTGATCTCAGCATGGCACCAAAACCACAGCAGGTGCCCAATGCAAGATGCCTCTTCCCCTATCCGCTGCCCCCACCTGAAATGGGTGACACAGCTGAGTCCCACGAGGCTCCCCAGTCCAGAGGGGTCAATGCCAGTGCGACGGAGGTCCAGGAAGAATTCGCGGCCCGCCGCCTGCAGGGTGCTGCCCAGCACATGGGTGTCCGGAGGCGTGAGTCGGGTGCCCAGGAAGGATAGGCTGGCGGGGAGCCCCTGTACCACATGCTGCTTAAGGCCAGCGTCCAACGCCTCGTGGGCACAGTGCAGCAGCTCCAGCAGCCGCCCTGCCTGCAGTGTTCCCGGCTGCAGCCGCTTCAGGTACCTGGTGAGTACCTTCTGCTTCCTGTTCACCAAGGTGAGCGCCACTGGCCCTGCCAGGGCTCCCAGGCAGCGGGCGCGAGGCTGGAAGACCAGCCCGGCCAGAAAGCGCGGCACGCCATCCAGCCAGTTGTCATAGGGCCTCTTCTTCCTCGGGGTCAATGCCAAATATTGTGGCAGCTCCTTGTCCTTGATCTCACTGCTCAGAGCCAGCCACACAGCCCCCAGGAAGCACTGCAGGAGGAAGCTAGGGAAGGCCAGCTCCTTCTCTGGGGCCCCGGGGACGGGCTGCACCCAGCCTCTGGCCACAGCCCAGGCCCTCACCTCTTCCGATGGAAACTGGCCTTCCCGCAGGGTGCTCTGGTGTCTGCGGCCCAGCTCCCACGCCAGCCTGGCCAGCGCCTCCAGGGCCCCTGGGGGGCTGTCACGGGCTGCTGGGCCTAGTAGGCCAACGTACAGTCCCGTGAGTGTGGAGGGCAGCTCGGCCTTCTTTTCCAGCTCCAGGAGGGCCTCGGAGAGCTGGCACACGGCCAGGCACACAGTGGGGCTGTGGCTGTGACTGAGGAGAAGCGGCTGGCCCTGGAGGAGCTCCAGGGCTCTCTCTTGGTGGTGAGCGGCCCCCGACCGCTCGAAGTAGCTCCTCACATAGGTCTTGGCCTGCTCAGCGGAGAAGCCAGGCATCTCGAACAGGGCGTCGGCCTTGCTCAGGCTCTGGGCCAGGCGACTCCGGGACCGGGCTGTGAGCAGCAGAGTGCAGCCTCGCAGCAGTTTGCGTTGGAGGAGGCCGGCCAGCAGCCCCCGGAGAGAGCGGGGTTCCGCCGACGCGGGTCTGCATGCGTTGTGCAGGAGGCCGTCTTGGGCTTCGAGCTCCTCGAAGGTGTCCAGGATGAGCAGGACGCGCTCGGGCCTCCTCAAGATGTGACCGAAGACCTCGCTGTCCACCGGCAGTGGCTGTGGGCCCAGGGAGAACAGGAGGTCCTGCAGGCGGTAGGCGTCCCCCGGACGGTCCAAACAGTGGCAGGGCAAGTAGAAGACGAAGTCGTACTGCGGCAGCTGGCCGCAGGCCCAGGCCCGGCTCACTGCCCGGGCCCAACGGCTCTTCCCCTGTCCTGCCTTGCCCAGCACGGCAATCACCTGCGTTTCACGTGGCCGCCGCCGGTCACTAGCAGCCAGCAGCACCTCGGCCAGACCCGCGCGGGCTGGCTGCCGCTCCGCCCAGTCCAGGTTGGCCAGCTCCCTCTCCTGGCTCTTGATGCTGATCCTCTCCAGCCGGGTCCTCACCAGGTCCACCTCCACCAGGACGCCTTCCGGGCCCGCGGGCTCGGCCTGGTACTTGTCCCGTAGGGAGCGGCAGAACTGCTCCACACTGTCTAAAAACCCAAGTGGGGGATGTGTGTGTTGGGGGTGGGGAGCAGGAGGCTAGTGGCAAGACTGGCTACCATGAGGGCAGCAGAGAGGCCGCCCGGCCACCATCACTCGCTTCCTCATCCATTCACCACACGGTCTTCACCGGCGGCCCTCTTTATTAGCTGCCTCATTCAGGTACCCAGACACGCGTTCATTAATTCATTAATTCCCACACCCATTTATTCACTCATCTTCTATCGCTCGTTCACAACAGGGAGGCCATTAGTGGCATGTTAAGAGTTAAGACTGTGGAGTCCATGCTGGTGGTTCGAGTCCTAGTCCCATCACGTATTAGTGTCATCCTGAGCATGGTACCCCACGGTGCCTCGGTTTCCTCATCTGCAAATTGGGGCTAATATGGGGGTTGTTTGTGACGTTAGTGACTTAATATCTCCAATGTGCTTAGAAGAGCATCTGGAACAGAGTTAGCACTAGTAACTTGGCCAGTCTCTTATTTGCTCTTGTATTCCCACCTTCTCTCGTTCCCATACTCATCATCACCTTCTTCCTTCATCCCCTCACTCAGTCACGCATTCTTCCCTCATTCATTTCCTCGCTGTTGTGGGATTACTGAGGAGTAGGTAGGTCCTCCATAAATATTAGTCAAGTGTAAGTGAGTGGCACAGGGAATGCTGAAGTGATGGTGGAATCAAGCAAGTGAATAAATGAACGAATGAGCATGCCAACAAGTAAGTGTTGAGTGAATGAGTGAAGCGAAGCCAAATTTGGGCTTAGGCCTCCAGCACCCAGGGCAGAGGAACCCTGCCACCACTCACCAGGCCATTTTGGAAGCTTGCTGGAGACCTCGGGAGCTGCCAGGCATTGGGTGGAGGACACCTCATCCTCTGGAGATGAAGAAGGTGGGGTCAGAGTTAGGGTGAGGCACACCCAGGGTCTTCCTTCCCTCTGGGGCATTCAGTCCTCGAATATCCAGAGGGAAGAGCCGACTTGGGCTGGGTCTCCCCAAGGTGGAGGTCACAAGGTGTAACCCGAAGCTGTATCCTGCTCAAAGATGTCTTTCTTTGGCCAGCTGCACTTTTAAATTTTTTTTACCAATGTTTTAAAAATCACAATATCTATATAAAAAAATCAAGATTTCTAGATTCTGCTGACAGTTCAGAAGATCTGGCCACACTGGGCCAGTTTTCCTGCTGGGTGACAAGCTGGGGACAGCTGGTGACCCCGCTTAGGTGGACAGGAATTCTCCAGTTGTCCCCCTTGCCCACCCTACCTGCCCTGTTTTACATGAACACAGCCGCTTGTCCCTGCAGGGGGGCTGTTTGAGGACCTGACGCTCTGCGGCAGTTCATTCCCCAAGGCCCTGAATCCTGCTTCCAGTGACTCTCACTGGAGGTCCTCACCTATCGTGTTTGCACGGGACGTCAGGGCTGGTTCTGGCATGCTGGGAAGGTCAGCTGCGGATGGGGCGAAGGGGCTGGTGGAGCCGGGCCGCTCAAGGGACTTCGGGAGGCTGTGGACAGCTGGGCTGCTGGATGGGGGCGCTTGGCTGGTCTGGGGCATCTCACCTATGTTGGGTGGAAAAGGAATGTAAGAATAACCAGGTGCCCATCCAGGAACCCACCTGGCCACTCCCACCCCAAATCAGGCTGTGGGGCTTGGGAAGTCTGGGGGGAGGAGAACAGAACTTCCAAAGAAAGGCATTTCAGGATGGAGTTGAGGAAAGAACTCTGGAGTTATAGCTAGCTCCTGGAACCTCGGTTTCCCCATCTGTGAAATGGACACAGTCAGCTCATAGGGAGCTTAAGGCAAGTGCTACTACGGCACTTTTTCTGCTCTATGGTCAGTGCTCATTTTCCTAGATACCCAGGATGTTCCCCAGCCTCTGGGGCACCAGTGCATTATACAAAAACTGGCACGCAACCTTCAACGTATGCTCTTCAAGTGAGTGAAAGTGTTCCCTTGGTCTCACTCTCTCTCCCATCCTTAAGAGCCCAAACATGCCTTCCCCTGGACAATTCACCGCCTGTCAGCGTGGCAGTCAGAAGGTCAGGAAAGAAGGGAATTCAGAGAAAGCTGTGCAAGGATGCACACTAAACGGTTCACAAGGTATCCTAAAAGAGTGAGGGAGAGACTCAGTAACTCATGTAAGCATCTCCTATTGTTTGTCTTGTTAATGAGCATGTATTGATATTGTGATTTAAAAATAGAATAAAGGTTAATACAAAATAGAAGGAAAAAACTAAGGCTCAGTAGGGGGCAGCGACACAGACGGCCACACAGCCACTCAGTGGGTCGTGCACCCAGACCACCTTGGGGAGCTCTACTCCTCTGCTTTGGTTTTTGGGAAATGGGGAAAGGGAAAGGTATTCTGGGGTGGGAAAATCATGAGATGGTACCAGGCCACAACTGCCAAATGCCTGGGGGGAGGGCGGCATCGGGGAGTAGTGGGGTAGCAGGGAGAGGGGGTCGGGGGGGGCCAGGCCCCACTCACTCACCTTGGTAGATGAGTATACTGGAGACCCCGGTCCCAGCTCCTGAGATCTGCCAGAATCCCTGGGGCAGAGTGGAGAGAGTGGGGATGATCTGGAAAGGTCCAGCCGGGAGACTCAGGCAGCTCAACAAGGACCCGGAGGGGGGCGCTGCAAGACACCAAGGCAGTGAGGCGGGCCCTCCACAGCACCTCTGTTTGCAGTCCCGTTTTGTGATTGTCTGATGAACATCTGACTCCCTTTCTAAAGGGCTCCAGTCTCCTGGGATTAGCTGGGGCAGGAGGGGGTGACTCTGGTTGGCAGCGGGACCCCTGACCCTGGTGACCCCTGCCTTAGTCACTCCTCAGGCACTTCCGGGGAGGGGGCACGCCCACCTTCTCCAAGCCCCTCACATACCAGGTTTTAGGGTGGTTTCCTCCAGCTGGGTCTGGCTGGATGCTAGATCCTTGTCGAACAGAGTAGGTGGTGACAGGCAGGGCAGAGCCATGGGGCCACTCGCTGGCTCCACTAGGAAAGTGCCAGTCGTCATGGGCACAGCGATGGGCTCGGCTGTGAGGAAGGGGCTGTGTTAGCGGCTGCGTGAGATCTGGGTGGGTGCCTGGAGGGGCCTTCCTGGGGTGGGGAGGGCTCCTGGAGCAGGTCTCTCTTCTGGCAGGAGGAGGAAATTCCTGCCTTCTTCTCAGCCCTGGGTGAAGCTAAGCTGGCTTAACAGCCACTGTCCTGTGCCAGGCAGCCCCCTGCCCCCAGCCCTCTCCTTGTGACTGGGCCCTGAGCACTTCCTGAGACAGACAGCTAGTGGTGGCCCCATTAGGCCTCTAGGGTTATTGGCCTAGGCCTCTACCACCTTCCGTAGCCAGTCACAAAGCCCCTTGGGGCCCCTAAGAGGCCCCAAGCACTTCCCAATAAAAAGAACAGTTGTACCCCCATCAGACTGGGGCAGGGGTTTTTCTCCTCCATTTAATGGGGAGATCTACGAGGGTAGAGACTTGCCTTCCCCATCAGACTGGGAACTCCCTGGAGACAAGGAGTGCTTCTCCATTATTCTGGGGTCTTTATGGGCAGGGCCCCTATCTCCCACGTCAGATTGGAACTCTCTGAGGGCAGGGACTAGGCCTCCCGCCATGAGACTATTAATTAGCCTTTCATTCTTCAGTCTGTTCTCCACTCAGGGGCTGGTCTTTCCACCTTTGCAAAAAAAACTGGGTGGGAGGAGAAGGGAGAGAAAGAGAAGAGGGAGGGGAGGGGAGGGGAGAGGAGGGGAGAGGAGGAAGCATCTGGTGGGAGAAGATGGTGAGCTTGGGGAGACAGGCTCACTGAAGCCTCTGAAGAGAGGATATTAGGGAAGAGGCTTTGTAGGAGAAACTGTCTCCTAGCAGCCCTCGACATGCGCAAGCTATGGAACCATGATCTTGGTTTCAGTCTCAGCTCCACGTCTCACTAGCTGTGTGATCTTGGACCAGTGGCTTCACCTCTCTGAGCCTCAGCTTTCAAATGCCAGCTGACAGAAATCTCCCTGGGCCCACCCGTCCTGCTCACCGAGCTTCCTGTGCTTCAGGTCCGCAGGCAGCTCCTCGGGGAAGGCTGCAGAGAGAACACAGCGGTTATCAGCCCCAGGGAAGGGGTGTTCCAAGCCAGCAGGGGCTCCTGGACTCCAACAGGACAAACAGCTTTGCCTTCCATGGCTGGGATGTGGCCGTGGGGGTCCCATTCCCTCCCCTTCCATTGACCATTCCTGCCCCCATCATCTGTCTGCTGGTTTCCAAACCCTACCTCAAAGCTCGCAGGACAGGGAGGCACCGGAAGTGGCAGAAACACAGAGGTGACAAACAAGAAGAGTTTGAGTTTAAAAAAATAAAAAGAAAAAACAACCTGCTTTTGATCCTTGCCTAGCTATGTGTCTTTGCAGCACAGCCTCTCTGAGCCTGTGATCTCTCATCTGTGAAACGGGGGTGGGGGTAGATGAGGGGCAGTACATTGGAAATCAGTGTGTGAGTATCAAGGACTTAACACATCAATAGAGAGAATCCATTATGTGTCCCTTAGCCAGGGGCAAACAAATTATGGTCCATCCACCAATGAAATACCATGCAGCCTTGAAAAAGTGCAAGGATGCTGAAGGATGTATGGGGAAGTGTATCCGTGTCTGTAAATTTACTTTGAAATGTTCCAGATATAAAATGGATGGATGGATGGACGGATAGAGGGATGGACAGATGGACAGAGATGTGTTAAGGCAAATATATCACCAACATTAATTGTAGAATGTAAGTGGTAGGTATACGGTTATTTACAGTACAATTCTTTCACCTTTGCTGTATGTTTAAAAATTTCACAATAAAATGTTGAGAGAAATATTTATCAAATGAAAACAGAAAGAAAGGAAGGAAGGAAGGAAGGAAGGAAGGAAGGAAGGAAGGAAGGAAAGAAGGAAGGAAGGAAGGAGGAAAGAAAGAAAGAAAGAAAGAAAGAAAGAAAGAAAGAAAGAAAGAAAGAAAGAA